TAAATTACCATTATTTGAAACATTAGTGAACAAACCAAGAATTGCCTTTCCATATCACAAGATGTACTGTAAAGTTACAGTAATTAAAACAGTGTGGCAAACAATACCAATGGTACAGAATTGAGAGTTCAGAAATAGACCCAAACATACTTGGGGATTTAGTATATTGTCAAGGTGGCAGTTTAATAAGTGAGGAAAATACAGCTATTCAATAAATGACTATCCACTTGTTTATTTCTGTGGAATAATTAAACATAGATTTAGTAAACTTTTCTCTGTCCCTGAATACGTGTAAAATTCAGCCTCTAGGTATGATGTGGACTGTTTCTGTTTGCAGTAACAACTGCCTGTCAATCATGAAGAACACCTACCACAGGAAACACAGTCCAAACCAGGGATTGACCCTCAATCTGTAGTTCACATTACTGAAGGGAGGTTTGCACAGGGGAATCCTATGGAGGTGAAAAAAACAGTAGGAAACCCATAAGGAAGAACACAGAAAGTGAGGCAGTGAACACAGTGTCTGTCCTTAGGTCCATCCTCTTGTTCCCTTCCTACCTGAGCATTTGGCCTTCACATCACAATTTATCGAATGTTTTGTTAGCACTTAGTCTCAGCTCTTGTTTGGATATATATATATATATTTTATTGTGCTTTACGTGAAAGTTTACAATTCGTTAGTCTCTCATACAAAAATTTATACATACATTGTTTTGTGACTGTACTTGGCTCTCCCTATCCTGTGACAGCACATTCCTCCTTTCCACCCCCGATTTCCCGTGTCAGTTCAACCAGCTCCTGACCCTCTCTGCCTTCCCATCTCACCTCCGGACAGGAGCTGCCCATTTGGTCTCAAGTATATACTTCAGCTAAGAAGCACACTCTTCACGAGTATCATTTTATGCCCCATAGTCCAGTCTAATCTTTTTCTGAAGAGTTGGCCCCGGGAATGGTTTTAGTTTTGGGCTAACAGAGAGCCCAGTGGCATGTCTTCCAGGGTCCCTCCAGTCTCAATCAAACCATTAAGTCTGGTCTTTTTACTAGAATTTGAGTTCTGCACCCCATTTTTCTCCTGCTCCATCAGGGACTCCCTGTTGTGTTCCCTGCCAGGGCTGTCATTGTGGTAGCCGGGCACCATCTAGTTCTTCTGGTTTCAGGCTGATGAAGTCTCTGGTTTATGTGGCCCTTTCTGTCTCTTGGGCTAATACTTTTTGTTTGGAAATATTTTTATTTACCAAATGTGAACAACAAAAAAAGTGAGCTAATTAGCAAAGCAATTATAGATTCATATTGTAAGCATTTTTTAAAATATTTTTATAATTATTGTTATCTGCAAGGAGAAGTTTTTGCAGTCTCTGAAGTAATTGAAAGATTCTATCAAATAACTTGGAACCCTGGTGGCACAGTGGTTAAGAGCTCAACTGCTAACCAAAAGGTCGGCAGTTCAAATCCACCAGCTGCTGCTTGGAAGCCCTACAGGGCAGTTCTGTTCTGTCCTATAGGGTAGCTATGAGTCAGAATCAACCTTGAGGGCAATGGGTTTGGGTTTTTTGGTTTTGCCAAGTACTTGAAAGATTTCTAAACCATTTATTTGCAGACTGTCTAATACGTACTCCCTGGGTACAGTACTTGCTGGTCCGTTTCTTGTACATCATGTAGAAGCCTTATATTAAATGATCATCTAAAAATATAAGAAAGTGTAAGATATTCAGAGGAGCCCTGGTGGTGCAATGCTTAAGCTCTCGCCTGTTCATCAAAAGATCGATGGTTTGAACCCACCAGCCGCTTTGTGGGAGAAGAGACCTGGTGATTGACTCCCGTAAAGATTTCAGCCTAGGAAACCCTATGGGGCAGTTCTGCTCTGGCATGTAAAGCTGCTGTGAGTCAGGATCCACTCGATGGCACACAACAAGATAAAAAAAAAAAAAAAACCAAACCCGTTGCCATCAAGTCGATTCCGACTCACAACGACCCTATAGGACAGAGTAGAACTGCCCCATAGGGTTTCCAAGGAGCGCCTGGTGGGTTCAAACTGCTGACCTTTTCGTTAGCCCCTGTAGCTTTTAACCATGATGCCACCAGGGTTTCCAACAACAAGATACTCCATCATTACTGAATTACGAAGCTGAGTGTAACTTGAAGATATTATTAAATGGAGCCTATGGGAAATATGGAAATCCTGGTGGTGTAGTGGTTAAGAGGTAAGGCTACTAATCAAAAAGTCAGCAGTTCGAATCCACCAGGAGCTCCTTGGAAACCCTATGGGGCAGTTCTACTCTGTACTGTAAGGTCAACTGTGAGTCAGAATCGACTCGATGGCAACGGGTTTGATTTGTTTTTTTGGGGGGTAATATGTCTGAGTCATCCACAAAAGCTAACTGAGTATATCTTCAAACCAACCAAACAAATAAAGCCAACAAATATGACACAAACGATCCAAAGCTACTGTGAGAGCTTGCTCCAGAGTTTACTTCCTACTATTGTCCCAAGATAATTCTTTGAGAGTTATCTAAACCGTTCAGTTCAATTTAAGTTCATTTCCTGTAATTCTGCCCTTGGTAGAGGGAAAAAACCCAAAAAATGATTGCTCAGCATCCTTCTTATGACTTACTTTCTCATAGTTTGAGAAAATCATTGCCAATTTTGATTTTTCTTGGGCCAGATATACCACATCTTTTAAATGTTTTCTGCAATTGTCTCTTCTTCCTGTGCTTGAATCATTTTTCCACTCTCAGCCTTTCCCAGCTTGCTGTCATCTTCCTTAGTAAGGGGGAAACACCAAATTTTGTTAGGACACTGGTCGATACTAAATTTAACAAAAGTCTTACTTCACCTATGCCATGCATAAGTGCGTAATGGAATAATAATAATTCTTAAAACAAAGATACTGATTTCTAGCCTTTTAAAAATATATATAATGAAGCTGTAATTTCTCATCTTATATGTAGTTATTATTATTGTTCTTTTGGTTTGAGGTGTATACTTTGTATTTAAATATTTTAAGCTTAATCCTTTTTAGAAGAGCCACTTAAAATATATTTTACATGAATTGTACTTAACAGAAACTACTGCTTAAGCAGTCTTAATTGTTGTAGATATACTTGTGAATAGAAATATTTTGAACTTAGCTTTAATCTTTGATAATGGTGACTAATTTAACCCTTCAGTGACCCAATTATTTTCTGCTTCGAATTTTTTGTTGATGCCATGTGTTTCCATGAATGGAAGCGTGCTGAATCATTGAGTGGGTCTGAATTTTTGGTAGGTAGTATGGATTTTTTTTTCTTGCCCCCTTCCACAAGCCTACCCTAAGTGTTTAGTGGTGTATATGAGGTACCACTAATTATACACCAGAGTCCCCACTGGGGTCTGCTGGTATATATGTGTAACCAATAGAAGTTCTCAAAATTTCTATTTTTCCTACGCAAAACTCAGACACTTCCTACGATGCCCTGTAAACACAGTAGTTTGTGGCAATGCCCACTTGTTCAGTCTCAAACAGTCATAAGGCCCCTGTCTTGTGGCGGCGTGCACTGTCAGGGGTTCAGCAGCTTCCCAGTAAACCCCAGAGGCTGACAGAGTTCATGGTCACTGTACGTACTGCTGGGCACGAAAGGCTTGAAGCAGCCGGGGGACCCAGAGGAGCTGAAATTCTGCTTCTCTTTCCCCTGATCACCTTCATTATAGTGAGATTTTGTTTGAAGAAGGGTTTTCTATCTTTACAAAGTGTGAAAACCAGTATATATAATAAGTTAAAATATTGTGAGGATGGCGCAGGACCGGGCAGTGTTTCTTTCTGTTCTGCATAGGGTTGCTATGAGTTGGAACCGACTTGATGGCACCTAACAACATAATAAGTTAATAAATTTATCCAACTCTTTGTCACACCCTTAGAACAAGCTTAGTAATAGCAAACCTTACAGTGAAACCTGTGAGAACCGGAACGCAACAAGACGGCCTTGTTTGTCCAGGTCTCACAGATTTTCTGCCTTTGACAGGGTGCAGTCTTACTACTTTTCTCTCTCTCTGTTAGTGGAAAATATTTGAGTTTTCCTTTCTGACAGGTATCTAGTTGACACGGGTTCCGGCTTTTGCGGGTTTTACTGTAATAGTAACGTGTTTTAGATCAAGAAGATTGTCTACTAGTTATGCTTCAAAGAGATCTTCAGCCTTTAGGTTACAAAATACGATTCAAGGAAAAAGTAAGGTGAAGTCTTGGGAGAATTTACTGGAAACGTGAAGATTTTTCAAATATGGCAGGTAATCATAAAATGATTGTGTCAAAATGGTTTTCTTGCTTTACCAAGTCTTATTTAGTAGAAAATTATTTTAAAATGTGATTTTTTTAGTCAAGATAACTGTTCATATTTTAAACTGATTTATTTTTAAATGGTTTCAGAACTTTACCCTGCCACCCAATCACTTGAAAGGGAAAGATACACCTAGACTTGCCAACTTTTTTTGCCCAGAGAGGAGCAAAGTGTTCACTGAGAGTATTCTAGTGATTGAGTCTTTAAAAGAGAAATAATGTTCTGAGAAAGATTTTTAATGAAAATTAAAAGTGTAACCAAATCACTTTGGCTCATAGCTGTTGATCCTGTCTTGAGATGTATGTGTCAAATCTACAGAGAAGTTGGGCCCAATGTTTGTCTGTTTCTTATATGACAGTAACTTGAACCCAATTACAGGGTACATTTCTTCTCATTTTAATGTGTTTTCTATGTATCAAAACAGGAGGCTATGTTAAGGGTTTTCCTGTACCTAGAAATTAATTTAAAACCTGTATCTGACCTGCCTTTGGTGTGAATAGGGAATAATTCCAGCTCAGATACTTGAGTTTGATCATTGCATAATGCATTGCAAAGCACCTTTTCTCATTTTATGTTTCTTCTTTTACAGGGCTCACAGAATTATTTGACTATTGAGTAATATCTAGGTGTATTTTTGTATCGTTTGAATGTACAGGAAAAGGCTGTAAAGCACTGTCTCTTTCTTCTTAGAGCCTTTGTGTGTTCACACCACCTGGAGTGAAGGATGGAAAACCACGGCTCATCCCGGCCGGGCCCATAACCCAGGGCACCACCGTATCTGCTTATGTGGCCAAGTCCAGGAAAACTCTGCTGGTAGAAGACATCCTTGGGGTCAGTGGCTCTTTAACCCTTGACATTTTTGTACTGAAGTATTTAATGAAGACAGATGACTTATTCTGATGTTATAATTTATGCCATTTCATAAAATAAAAATATTAAAGCTAAAGGTTGTTGTTAGATGCCCTCAAGTCGGTTCCGACTCATAGTGACCCTATGCGCAACAGAATGAAACCCTGATCAGTCCTGTGCCATCTTCACAATTAGTCATTGCTATGTTGAACCCATTGTTGCAGCCACTATGTCAGTCCATCTCATTGAGAGTCATCTTCTTTTTCCTCTGGCCCTCTGCGTTACCAAGCATGATGACCTTCTCCAGGGAATGGTTCCCCCTGATAACATGTCCAAAGTGCATGAGATGAAGTCCCACCATTCTCACTTCTAAGGAGCATTCTGGCTGTACTTCTTCCAAGACAGATTTGTTAGTTTTTTCTGGCAGTCTGAGGTATATTCAATATGCTTCTCCAACGTGCTAATTCAGATGCGTCTATTCTTCTTCCTTATGCATTGTCCAGCTTTCACATGCATATGAGGCAATTAGAAATGCCAGGGCTTGGGTCAGGTGCACCTTTGTCCTCAAAGTGGCATCTTTGCTTTGTTAACATTTTAAAGAAGTCTTTCGCAGCAGATTTGCCCAGTGCAGTATGTCACTTGATGTCTTGACTGCTGCTTCCATGGGTGTTGATTGTGGATCTAAGTAAAATGAAATCCTTGACAACTTCAATATTTTCTCTGTTTATCAGGATGTTGCTTATTGGTCCAGTTGTGAGGATTTTTGTTTTCTTTATGTTGAGATGTAATCCATACTGAAGGCTGTGGGCTTTGATCTTCATCAGTAAGTGCTTCAAGTTCTCTTCACTTTCAGCAAGCAAGGTTGTGTCATCTTGCATAACACAGATTGTTAACAAGTCCTCCTCCAATCCTGATGTCCTGTTCTTCTTAATACAGTCCAGTTTCTCTGATTATTTGCTCAGCATACAGACTGAATAAGTATGGTGAAAGGATGCAACCCTGACACACACCTTTACTGATTTTAAACCAAGCAGTATCCTCTTTGTTCAAAAGACTGCCTCTTGTTCTATGTATAGGTTCTGCGTGAGCACAGTTAAGTGTTTTGGAATTCCCATTCTTTGAAGTGTTACCCATAATTTGTTATGATGTCAAATGCCTTTGTATAGTCAATAAAACACAGGTAAACATCTTTCTGGTATTGTCTGCTTTCAGCCAGGATCCATCTGACATCAGCAATGATATCCTTTGTTTCACGTCCGCTTCTGATTCTGGCTTGAATTTCTGGTAGTTCCCTGTCGATGTACTCCTGCAACCGCTTTTGAAAGATCTTCAGTAAAATTTTACTTGTGTGTTATATTACTGATATTGTTTGATAATTTCCCCATTTGGTTGGATCACCTTTCTTGGGAATAGGCATAAATATGGATCTCTTCCAGTCGGTTGGCCAGGTAGCTGTCTTCCAAATTTATTGGCATAGTTGAGTGAACACTTCCAGCCCTGCATCCATTTGTTGAAACATCTCTGTTGGTATTCTGTCAATTCCTGGAGGCTTGTTTTACGCCAATGCCTTCAGTGCAGCTTGGACTACTTCCTTCAGTACCATTGGTTCTTGATCATTTGATACCTCCTGAAGTGGTTGAATGTCAATCAGTTCTTTTTGATACAGTGACTGTGTATTACTTCCATCTTCTTTTGATGCTTTCAGCATCATTCAACATGTTGCCCATAGAATCCTTCAATATTACAACTCGAGGCTTGAATGTTTTCTTCAGTTCTTTCAGCTTGAGAACTGCAGAGCGTGTTCTTTCCTTTTGGTTTTCTAACTCCAGGTCTTTGCATATTACTTTGTCTTCCTCAGCCACCCTTTGAAATCTCCTGTGCAGCTCTTTTATGTCATCATTTCTTCCATTCGCTTTAGCTACTTGACATTCAAGAGGAAGTTTCAAAGTCTCTTTTGACATTCATTTTGGTCTTTTCTTTCTTTCCTGCCTTTTTAATGACCTTTTGTTTTTTTATGTATGATGTCCTTCCACAACTCATCTGGTCTTCCCTCATTAGTGTTAAATGCATAAAGTCTATTTGTGAGATGCTCTGAATTCAGGTGGGATATACTCAAGATACAGATCAATGAATGAATTTATATTTAATTTTTATACCCAGCTAAGCATATATTATATTCCCAGTAAGAGTAGATTTGAGTAGTTCTTATTTCAATATATGCCAGTATGTTATGTGTTTCATATCCTGGCAAGATATATATGAATGAGTTAGCTATTGCTGTGTCTCAAACCACCCCAATATCCATGGTGTAATACAACTACCATTTCTTATTAGATTCCATGGACTGGGCCTTTCTGCTGCTCTGGGCCTATGAGCTGGGCTTCCTTGAGCATCTGTGAGCACCTGACAGGGGGTCACTAGCTGTCTGAGCTGATATGCTGAAGTTGGGGTGATCAGCTCTCCACACCTTTCCAGTAAGACTGGCCTGCCACGTTCTCATCATGGCGGCAGGGGTCCAAGACAGGAAGTGGAGGTGGAGACATGCCCGCCTGGTTGCGACCCTCCCATTGACCAGAGCAAAGCCCATGCCAAGCTCAAAGTCAGTGTCAGAGGAAACTAACAGGGTGTGGGTGGAGGGAGATATGAAAAAATGGGGCCCTAATGCAGTCTCCAAGGAGTCCAGGTAGCGCAGTGGTTAAGTGCTCAGCTGCTAACCGAAAAGTCAGCGGTTCAACTTACCAGCTGCTCCATGAGAGAAAGATGTGGCAGTCTGCTTCTGTAAAGATTACAGCCTTGGAAACCCTACAGGGCAGTTCTACTCTGTCCTACAGGATCAGAATCAACTCGATGGCAGCAGGTTTTAATGGAGGCTTGTGTGGTATGTGAGAGCATTTTAATTAAATATTAGTAAATGAAGCATAGACCTTAAAAGTGACAAGTATACAAACAAATACTTAGGTGTAATGAATTTTCTCTGAAAAAGCGCTAAATTGTCGTCATGAAGCCAGAATTTCAGTTATGATGTTGCCACTAGTTATCTGCATTACCTTAAAGAAATCAACTATTAAGAAAGAAAAAAGTTGTTCAAAGTAGATGCTAAAAGTAGGTGCTATATATAAGTTGTCGTTTGAAAATGTTCTATTATATATGCAAGCTTTCAAAAGATCTGTAAATTGCAAGAATAGATTTCTATTATTCTTGATTCATCCAAATGTCCAATTCATTTCTAATAGCTTCCTACAAACAGCAGAATTCAAATAGGATTGATGTTTTTGATCTTAATTCGTTCTGTTTTACTATACTTTGAGTGATTTTGCTAAGATAAAAAATTATTAAAGTAAAAGTCAAATAACCAATTTTATTTTTTATGATAAATGATAATTATTGGATGATTTGAATACTTAGTGTGTACCCTTGAGTTTCAGTTAGAATGAATCTTATTAACATATGCTTTTATGTTATTTTAACCTTAAGAATAGAAGAGTCTATATTTTACATATAATTTCCTTCATCTGGTATTTACATTTGGAGCAGTTTTCATTAGTGACATTATACCTATGAAGCCCTTTGCACAGTTCTGGCACATGGAAAGTGAAAAATGAATGTTAGCCATTATAATTACTTTTATCATTATTGCTTGAAATTAACGTAGTTATTCATTCATTAAATTTTTAGTGAACAAGAATAAAGAAGCACTGAAGCAGTATTGGGATAAGATAAAGCAGTATTGGGATAAGATAAAGCAGTATTGGGATAAGATAAAGCAGTATTGGGTTAAGACAAAGCAGTATTGGGATAAGACGAAGCAGTATTGGGATAAGATAAAGCAGTATTGGGATAAGACGGAGCAGTACCGGGATAAGACGGAGCAGTACCGGGATAAGACGGAGCAGTACCGGGATAAGACGGAGCAGTACCGGGATAAGACGGAGCAGTACCGGGATAAGATGAAGTTGCTAAACACAGGCATTTTCTTAAACAAAACAAGTGACGGCCATCATCTTTTGGTTTTCCTTAGGAAAAGGATTGCTTACTATCGATTACAAGTATTGGGTAATTTCTGATATAGATCAGAATCGCAACATAATGATTCCATTTCTTTAACTGAATTTATATCTTTTATTTTTCAGGATGAACGATTTCCAAGAGGTACCGGACTGGAGTCAGGGACTCGTATCCAGTCTGTTCTTTGTTTGCCAATTGTCACTGCAATTGGAGATTTGATTGGTATTCTCGAGCTGTATAGGCACTGGGGCAAGGAAGCCTTCTGTCTCAGCCACCAGGAGGTGAGGTCTTCACAACTGCTGGTTAGGGTTTTTAGTTGTACCTATCTCATTTGAAGGTGCTGATTAACATCGTTAAATGAATAAATGAATACTTAATATCACAATTTGCTTAACAATGTTTTAATGCTAATACTAATGATTTTACAACCTTTGTTTTGCAGTTGTATAGAGAAGGTATTGGTTACATTCGAAATATAATCATTTTTGTTAATAAGAGCCCAGTGTAACAGTAACAATAAAGTGTGCCACATTGTGAACCAAATAAAAAAATAGTGAGATGACTCTGGGAACGTCTCACATTCTTGTTGTCTTTAATGTTTCTTGAAAGTCATCTTCCTAGAGTGTGCCCCGAAAACAGTTCCAGGGTCAAATATACCAGGAAAACTGTGAGTCCATTCACCAGTGACTGAATTAGAGTTGGCTCATGGTATTAGGATGCAGTATTAGGATACCAGTTCTCCAAGGCTTTAAGATAAAACAAACCTGAAAGAACCACATACTCCTTGTTAGCTGTGATTTTTTTCTTCTTTCACTTTCTCACTGTCCATGTACCGAAAATTAATACTAGGACCAAACACTGAAATATCTATCTCTCTGTCGCATGCAGTGTAAGCCCAAGCCCGCACGATGCCCTGACACCCTGGCTGCTTACCTGGATGACATCATCCCTTGCGACTCTACCCTCTCTGGCTCCCTCCAGCCCCCTGGACCTGGAACAAGGCTGCAGGCTGATGTTCAGAGCCTGAGCATCTGTTCCTCCCCGCCAGCCACCTCCTTCCAGTGTTCCCTCAGAAGTCACCTTCTCAGCGAGGCCTCCTGCCCAGGGTTCCCTGTCCCTCTGTTCTGCCTTGGTTTTCTCTGTGGCACCTATCCTCCTGGATTACACTGTGTTTTACTCTGCATTTTCTCTGCCGTCTTTCTCTCTTCCCCACAATGCCCTGTAACCCGTTTGATTATTGTTGTTGCCACCTGCCAGGGCTCCAGCACCTAGAATAGAGCCTGCTACAGACTAGGCACCCAGTAAATATCTGCTCAACCAGAAAAATAAAAATAGAAAACCCAAACCTTTGCCATCAATTCAATTCCGACTCCTAGCGGCCCTATAGGACGTAGTAGAACTGCCCCATAGAGTTTCTGAGGCTGTAAACCCTTACAGAGCAGACTGCCACATCTTCCTCCTGCAGAGCAGCTGGTGGGTTCAAACCGCCAACCTTTTGGTTCGCAGTTGAGCACCTAACCACTGCGCCACCGGGACACCTTACATATTTGTTAAATGAATGAATATTCAAAGAAGTAGAATAGCTATAATCTGAGTTCTTGTCAGCTAGTATATACAAAAGATTTTTACTTTTTAAAACTATTTCATCATTTTAAAGTGATCATTAGAGGACTTTTCAGTGGTATTTTTATTAAACTGAAAAAATAATCATTTTACATTAAAATAATTGTAATTTCTATCTCTGTCCTAACAATCAAGTTATCTCCCTTCTTTAAAATTAAGAAGAACAAGAGAGCATGAAATTGAAGCCCATAGGAGGGAGAAATAGAAAAGAAAAACCTTGTAAATATTTGGTACTTTGTATTTGGCAAAATATCCAAAAATATCCAGTGACCTCAGAAAATTCTCCATAAGCGTTTATGCTGAAGTCCGTTGCTGGGATATCTGCGTGAGACATCTAAACACTGATTTCCTCCTTTTTTCTCAGGTCGCAACAGCAAACCTGGCCTGGGCCTCCGTAGCGATCCACCAGGTGCAGGTGTGTCTCTGTGCTGTCTGCACAGGGCTCGCTCAGCGGAGAGAGCTGTTTGAGGCGCAGCGTTGGGGCTGCCGAGGAGGCTGATAAGTCACCTAAAGCCTCATTGGGGGATCTCAGAGTATTTTTATTATTTTTTAAAAATTTTATTTATTTACTTCTCTCCTGCCTTAAGTTTCTTGCTATGTTTTCTATATTTGTATATAATTGCATATCTATCAGTCCTATTAGAGTATTTGTTTTCCACTGAAAGGCCAGGAACAGTCTCCAGTTTTACTGAATTAAAGCTCCCACTAAACTAAATGCTATATGAAGATATTAGTTCTTCAAGATACCTGATTTTCTTGAGGATATGATTGCCAAGTGCCTGGAGTTTTCCTTTGCCTCAAGTTGCCATTTGTATCAATTCACATAAAACCACAAACAGATAAAGGAGCCCCCTAGATTTGAGGCAGGTAGATTTGATCACCCCGTAGCTTCCTTTGGAGGCAGGAAGGGAAGACAAGAAGAGATACACCTGTCGTTCTTGTTTCCAGCTACGTGTTTACAGTTTACAAGGAGGCTGCCTGTAACCTCTGCCCTGTGGACTTTTCAGGAAGGCGGTCGCAGTACAGTGCCGCTTTTCCCCTCCTGTCTTCTTTGTTGTTGTTTTGCTTTTCTGTTTTCATTTAAGCAATCTTGGTTGATGAGGAACTGTGTTATAGGAAGAAAAATAGAATAATAGAATTGTGGTATGATTAGCAACACTTTCATTGGATCTGGCATTATCAAGCACAGGCAGAATATGTGCCCAAGTACAGTTTTTTTAAAGTATAGTTTAAGTTTAAAGTAATATTAATGTTTGACTCTAGAGGTAGACTGCTTGGATCTTAATTCCATCTCTAAAAAACATAACCAAACCCAATGCCATCGAGTCAATTCATAGTGACGCCGTAGGGGAGGGTAGAACTGCCCCATAACATTTCCAAGGCTGTAATCTTTATGGAAGCAGACTGCTGCATCTTTTCCCGAGGAGTGGCTGGTGGGTTTGAACCGCTGACCTTTTGCTTAGCAGCTGAGCACTTTAACCACTGTGTCACCAGGGCTCCTCAATTCTGGCTCTACCATTTATTAACTCTGGAATATTAGCGACATTCTACACTTCGTTATGCTTTAGTTATAAAACAGAAATGCCAAACTCACAGTGTGCTGTGACGGTTAAATGAGATAGGAAATACCAAGTGCTTAGAACAGTGCTTGGCCTATTTGAGATTCAATAAATATTAGTTGTTATTTTTTTTTATTCTTACATTATAAATCAAATGATTGTGTTAGGCCTTTTAAAATAAATAAGGCACATAGAATCCTGGAATTTTATTCTTAACTAAACTGAAACCACTTAGAATTAACAGCCGTTGTTTTCTATGTCAGGTGTGCAGAGGTCTTGCCAAACAGACGGAATTGAATGACTTTCTACTCGATGTATCAAAGTAAGTGTTCATTTCTAGAATGCCGTAACTCTGTTGATCGACAGCTTAACTTAAGCGGAGGACGTGACAGTGATAGATTTCTCTCTACTGCAGCCAGTGTCCAAAGATCCACCTTCACCATACAAAAGGTCTTTTAAGACTTGTTGATCCTACTTTGGATTGTAGGGTTACATTCCTGTCCCCGCTCACTTTTCAAACGAAGGACCGCAGATGTACATATGATGATCTTCACTTGGAGCTTGATGTCTGTTTTCTAAATAGACTCACTTAGAACATGTTAAAGACACTAAGTGTTTCTACTTTTTCGGGAGAAAATTGACAGCCGTAGAGGTAGAGATGTTTTCTAAAAAGTCCTCTGGGGCATTTTCTACAAATACCAGCACTTTTTTGGTTGTCATTAGGTGCTGTCGAGTCGGTTCCGACTCATAGCGACCCCATGTACAACAGAACAAAACACTGCCCGGTCCTGCGCCATCCTCACAATTGTTGCAGCCCCTGTGTCAGTCCATCTCATTGAGGGTCTTCTTTTTTGCTGACCCTCAGCACATTTAAACATAATATAATTAATACCATTATTTTAATTTTCCCATGTATAGTGGCTCAGTTATCACATCCCAGAAAATGTTCCATTTCCCTAAAGTTTGACATAGGAAACCTTCTGAGGCTGGCAGTGGAAGCAGTTGTAGATATTTACTAAAGACCAGGTTCAGATTGCTTTTGCTTGCCACAGGGAGATCTTCCGAGTATCTGAACCATCTACTTAATTGTTGGAATCTAACAAATGCCGAGGATATGGTGACTTCAGGGTCATGCCTTCCTCGTTTACGGAAGGAACGATGGACCTGTCTGTCCACAGCTCCCAGCACCCGCTGTGACCTACGTCTCTCTCATTGTCGCTAGGGTAGTCCTTGGTAATTCATACACCAAAAAGTAGGGTGAGCTCCCTGACTAATACATTTGAATGTTCTAGTTCGTGTTGCACCTGGTTTTTGAAATATAAAACCAGAGAGAGATGGGCCTGAAAAAGTACTCTTGATTATATAAGTCAGTGTCTTCTTTCAAACAGAATTAAAGCTTAGTATCTCTGGGACGTGTGATAATATTTCTTCAAAGTATAGAAAGGGAAAATGTGCACATTCTCTTGCTAATGCACTTGAGTAGTTTGCAAGTCTTCCAAGTCTTATGTGACACTTTAAATCTGTTCCCTCCTGTTTTTCTTCCTGGTGGGAAATCCATTTATCTTACCATCTTCTTGCAGTGTATCCCTCAGTGTACAGCGCAGTGAAGCCTCTTCTAAGTCTCAGTGTTTTCAAGCTAAATAAGTCACCTTCTCAATAAAAGGCATTGTTCATTCCTATAAGCTCTCTTGTGAATATATTGCTATGTTTACATGAAGGTAAACTGAAGGCACTGCACGCTAGAACCTATGCCAAGAGTACTTGTGTATACTTCTCTAGGCAGCCTGCCTGCTAAGTTATCTGTGTATCAGATTTCCATTTTCATACGCCATACACCTCCAACACATTTATTTGCTGTTCATAAAAATGGATATATGTTTTACTTGTGTATAGTCATTAAATCCTTATCATTACTTGTATCCTGATATTTCTTCTCAAATGAATTGTATTGTTCTCAAATGTTCTCAACATTGCTTCCTCAATGTTAAAATGGCTCTGTTTTTTTCAGTGATAATTTGCATTTTAACCACATTGATAAGACTCAGCAAATTTAAATATTTTTATTTCAGATCAAAGTTATTAATGAAAATATGAAGTATAAGCAACCTAATTTTATTCCTTCTTAGTTTGGGTTAAATGATACAAACTCTCCACTTCGGTAGTTACCAATATAATTATTTAATGAGTCCTCTGGAAGTAGAGTGGTTATAGTATGACCAATGATGAAGTTTCATTTATCTCTTTAAAATAATATTAGTGACTGTTTCCACAAAAGGACAAAGTGAACATAGAGAGAGATTGAGAGGAAAAGAGGGAGGGAGAAGGAGGGAGGGGGGCGGGGAGGGAGAGTGAGTAGTCCCTGAGTGATGCAAAGGATGCTAACCAAAAGTTTGGGGGTTGGAGTCCACCCAGAGCCCCTTGAAAGAAGGCTCTGGCCATCTACTTATGAAAAACCAGCCATCAAAAACCCTATGGCGCACAGTTCTACTCTAACACACATGGGATTGCCCTACATCAGCGCTGACTTGATGGCATCTTGATATATCTGTGTGTTTAATTAAAATATAAACAAAACTAACAAATGCATTCAAAGTCGAATATGTACTGTGACCTAAATAAAATTACTTACAAGTTTTCTGTTTCTTTTTTCTGTTTTTCCAGAACGTATTTTGATAACATAGTCGCAATAGATTCTCTACTTGAACACATAATGGTAGGTTGCCTTTTGTTTGGAAAATGATTTTATCTAACCTTAGATCCATGGTCTGAATATATGCTGTGACATTTTAATTTATTAGACTCACAAACTCTTTTAAATATTACGAAAAGTTGGTGCTTAGTGATCTGGAAGCATCAACTTGATTTATTTGTTGTTTCTATTTTGGGAGGGTATTTGAGTAATATGTATTTTTTTAATCTCAGTCTTTATTTAGTGGAGGAGAGATATACTTTGAAAATAGACTTATTTATTTACTTACTTATAAATTCTCCTAAGTACCTTTTGCATATAGGCTACGTTATTGATTCCCAGCTGATTCTCTGTGAACTTCAAGTTCATTGTACTTGGTTCTAGTCTTAATCATTCCTGTCTCCTCGAAGGCTAACTGGCACTTTAGGCTGGAGCCATAGAAGGTGGTGTTACATTCACATTTTCCTACGTTACTGCTTCAGGGCTGGGGTGGGACGCCATGGAAGAAGAGACTCCATTAGTCGAGGTCATGTGTGTGCCCCAGGGATGGCCAGACGCTCCTGGTACCCTTTGTGCCCTGTCGTACACTTTAATAAATATTCTTTCTCTTTTCCATTTTCCTGGTCCATCTCAAAATATAGCTATCCTTGGTAATCTGAGATTTCCTCACCTAAGATTTTATGATGCACACTGCTAGATTTTTCTTTGACATTCCGGCAAACAAGTGTATTCACTGTCTTGTAGAGACAGGAAAAGTGTGCTCAGGGAATTAAACAGTAACATGAAGAGCTATTAATTCTAGTACTTTCCTTGTGTAATTAGTTATTTTGATGCTTTTATCTGGACAAAAAGGAGAATAATTGTTTGCATCTTAAAAAATAAATTGTCTGCTTGTGACAGTGTGTAAAGAATTCAGAAAGCAGAGAAAAGTATTGAGAAGAATATAAAAATAAAAAGATAAAATGTGGACTGACAAAGAGTTTGTGTTAGAAGTCCAAGAAGCCCTTGTTGACTAATGTTTGTATTATTAATATTATCTTTTTAACGACTTTATTAAGATATAATTCATCTATTTAAAATGTATACAATTTAGTGGGTTTTAGTATATTCACAGATACTGAGAACCCTCCCCAGTCGATTTTAGAACATGTTCATGACCGCAAAGAAAAACCCCTGGATCCTTTAGCTATCACCTCAGCCAGCCCTCCATCTTCCCCAGCCCAAAGCTGCCATTAATCAATCAGCTTTCTGTCTCTGTAAATTTGGTTGCTCTAGACATCTCATATAAAGGAATCATGTAATATATGGTCTTTGGAGCTGGCTCATTTCACATAGCATGTTTCCAGGTTCATTTGGGTTATAGCACGTATCAGTACTTTATTCCTTTTTACTGCCAAATAACATCCAATTGCATGGATATACGACATTTTGTTTATCCCTTCATCAGCTGATGGACAATCGGGTTGTCTCCACCTTTTATCTATGAAAAGAGTGCCACTAGGAACACCGTGTACAAGTTTTTGTCTGAATGCCTGTTTTTAGTTCTGTTGGGCAGATGTCTAGGAGTGGAGCTGCTAGGTCATATGATTCCTCTGTGATTTACGGTTTCAGGAGCCACCAAACTGTTTTCCACAGTGGCTGCACCATCTTATATTCCCGCTGGCAGGGGATTTTCTACAGATCCTCATCAACACTCGTTATTTTCTGACTTTGATTATGGCCATCCTACTGGGTGTGAAGTGGTTTCTCGTTGTGCTTTAATTTGCATTTCCTGAGTGACGATGATGTTGGACATTGTTTCCGTCTGTCCTGGCTGTTTGTGTATCTTCTTCGGCGGTATGTCTACTCACATCTTCTGCCCATCTCTGAAACTCGGTTGTTTATCTTCTCGTTATTGAGCTGTGAGAGTTCTTTGGTATTGAAGTCTCCAGCTGTATTGTTGAGCTGTCTGCTTCTCCCTTCGTGGCTCAAGCTGTGCTTCCTGTGTTTGGTGCTCTGTTGTTTGGTGAATAAACATTGATGATTTTTACATCTTCCTGATGGATGGGCCCCTTTATCGTTATACATAATGCTTCTTTATCTCTAGGATAGCACTTTCCTAGTACTGCTGTCACAAAGTACCACAGCTAGGTAGCTTAAAACAACAGAAATTTACTGTCTCACAGATTAGGTCTTCGAACTCCAAAGTCAAGGTCTCAGCGGGACCATGCTCTCTCTGAAGGTTCTCGGAAAGAATCCTTCCTCCCTTCTCCCAGCTTCTTGTGGTTCACGATATTGTTGCCGAATTACGGAGTTATGACCTGTGGTAGCATAATTCTGATGTCTGCGTTCATCTCCTCGTGGCCATCTTCCCTCTGGGTCTGTGTCCATGATTTCCTTGTCTCATAAGAACACCAGTAAGTGTCTTAGGGCCCACCCTAATCCAGTATAACATCATCTCAATTTGATTATATTCGCAAAGACCTTATTTCCAAATGAGGTCACATTTACGAGTACTTGAGGCTAGGACTTGAACGTATCTTTTTAGGGGGTTACAGTTTAACCCACAACATCTAGTAACTTTTTGTTTTTATTTTAAAGTCAGTTTTGTCTGATATTAGAATAGCTAGTTTTCTTATGGTTGATATTTGTACAATGTATCTTTTTTTACCCTTTTACTTTTAACCTGTTTCTATCTTTTAATCTAAAGTGTGTCTTCTGTAAATGCCATACAGTTGTATTTTTTTTCCAGTCTGACAGTTACTGCCTTTTGATCAGATTGTTTAATCCATTCGCATTTTTTTGTTTGTTTATTGTTGTAGTTTAAATGGAGTTTACGCTTCAAGTTAGTCTCCCATAGAAAAATTTATACATACATTGTTATGTGACTCTAATTGCTCTCCCCATACTGCGTCAGCACACTCCTCCTTTCCACCCCTGGTTCCCCACGTCCATTCAGCCAGCTCCTAACCCTCTCTGCCTTCCCATCTCACCTCCGGACAGAAGCTGCCCATTTAGTCTCTTGTATCTACTTGAGCTAAGAGGCACACTCCTCACGAGTATCACTTTATGTCCCACAGTCCAGTCCAATCCCTGTCTGAAGAGTTGGCCTCGGAAATTGTTTTAGTTCTGGGCTGATAGAGAATCCAGGGGCCATGCTTTCCGGGGTTCCTCCAGTCTCAGACCATTAAGTCTGGTCTTCTTACTAGAATTTGAGTTCTGTGCCCCACCTTTCTCCTGCTCCATCTGGGACTCTCTGTTGTGTTCCCTGTCAGGGCAGTCATTGCTGGTAGCCAGGCACCATCTAGTTTAATCCATTCACATTTAATGTTATTATTTATACAGCTGTACTCACATCTGCCAGTTTACCATTTGTTTTCTATTCATCTTACATCTTTTTGTTACTCTACTCTCCCTTTACTGTTTTCTTTTTCTTTAAGTGAATATTTTTAATGTAGAATTGTAACTTTTTCATGATTTTCCACTATATTTTTTACTTATTTCTTTAGTGGTTGCACTTTGACTGACCAAATACATCTTAGCTTATCAGAATTAGCTTCAGTTTTATACTAACTTAATTCCAGTGAGAAACAAAAATGTTACTCTTATAGAGCTCTATTCCTTCTTCCCCCTTTTTATGGTATTATTGTTATACCTGTTGCCTCTATACATGTTAAAAACTCAATAATACATTGTTATAATCATTACTTTTTATACTTCTAAAGCTGAGGAAAGGAAGGAGAGTAACTATGTAGTTATAGCTTTTGTTAAAGATTGTTTATCTTCTTCTTTGGCATTTCTGGATCTTTTCGTTTGTTTCTGTGGATTCCAGTTAGGATCAGAGGACTTTCCCTCACCCACTACACTTTTCCCCACACACCTCCTTTGTGCTGTGATTGGAAAATATGTTGCATTTCTCAATGGTATGTGCCCAAGAATACATTTGTATACATATTGTTTTATCCAACTGCTTTTGAAGTCAGTTGAGGGAAGAAAGGAGAGGCAATGTACATTTGAACTGTCTGTTATATTACCTGTTTGCCTTTATGGGTGCTCTTTGTTTTTTTTTTGTCTTTGTTTCCTTGTGGATTTGAATTACCATCTGTGATCACTTACTTTCAGCCTGAAGAACTTCTTTTGTATTTATTGTAAGGCAATTCTAGGAGCAACAAATTTTGTTAGTTTTTGTTTATCTTGGAATGTGTTCATTTCACCTTCATTTTTGATAGTTTTACTGGAGGTAGGATTCTTGGTTGAGAGGTTTGTTTGTTTTCCATTTCTTTCCAGCACTTTGAATATGTTGTCCCACTACCTTTTGGCCTCATTCGCTTCGGATGAGAAGTCAGCTGGTAATCTTACCGGGGTTCTTTTGGAAGCAATGAGTAATTTTTCTCCTGCTGCTGCAAAATCACCTCCTTGTCTTTGGCTTTTGGCAGTTTAGGTCTGATGTGTCTGTTGGTGGATCTGTTTGCGTTTTTCCTACTCAGACTTCTGTGAGCTTCCTGAATGGGTAAACCCGTTGCCGTCAAGTCGATTCTGACTCATAGCGACCCTATAGGACAGAGTAAAACTGCCCCATATGGTTTCCAAGGAGCGCCTGGTGGATTGGAACTGCCGACCTTTTGGTCAGTGGCCATAGCTCTTAACTACTACGCCACCAGGGTTTCTTCCTGTATGGGTAGGTTATTGTTTTTCAGTAAATTCGGGGAGTTTTCGGCCATTATTTTTTTGAATATTTTTTCTACTCTTTTCTCTCTCTTCTCTCCTTCTGGTACTTCCATGACATGTAAGTCGGTGCACTTAATGTCCCACATTTACCTGAGGCTCTGTTCAGTTTTTCCTTTTCCTTCATTTTTCTCTCTGTTCTTAGGATTGCTAATCTTTATCGATCCATCCCAAGTTCATTAATTCTTTCTTCTGCCAATTTCAAATCTACTGTTGAGACCTTCTAAAAATTTTTCATTTAGTTATTGTATGTTTCAACTCCAGAGTTTCCATTTGGCTCTGTTTTCATAATTTCTGTCTCTTTATTTACGTTCTCTATT